CCTAACAGCATGATCGGTTCATTCGCTCCAACACTCCGCAGTAAGAGCTTGAAGGTCTTGATCGCTTGCGCAGGTAGTGTCTGGTACCATACATCAACTGAAGGAATGTAGATGACACTAGGCTTGTGTCGTCTGACCTCTGTAAATAGCTGAGTGATGGCTGCCTCGGGCGCTCGGGTGGAGTCCTCAAGAATAGTTGGAAGATCGAAAGATTGAACATGCAGACCCTCGATCTTGTTCAACAGTGCAGCACCAAGGTATTGTTGACCCATGCCTTGGAGGCCGCTGATGAGCAAACGGGGTCTGAAGATCCTGCTGCTCTCAAAGTTGCGCATGGTGGCTTCGCGCTCGAAGCCTTTCTCGTCGTCGCGGTCGTCGTACTCAGCTTCCTCCAGCGCAGTAAGCTTCTTCCTCCGAGGGATAAGCTCATCTATGCGCTTCAAGATTGCAGCGAGGGGCTTCTGTAGTAATGGCTCGATGTTCTTGCCTAGTGGTGCTGCGCTAGCCGTCACTGTTCGCTGCGAAGATGGCACCATCTTGTTGACCGAGATCATGAAATCCTTCGCCAGGATTTTGATGGTGCTAGGATCGATCAAGAGCTTTTTCTCGGAGGTGTAGATCTGGGGGTACGTCCCCTGCACTGCATTGAGAGCTGCTTCTGTGCACAGCGCTCGAATATCGGCACCTCCGTAGCCCTTGGTCAACTCTGCAAGCTGATCCTTCATCTCTGGCTTCAAGGGTGGCTCCCACTTCTTCGTGTGGATGTCAATGATAGAGCGTCGACCTGCGACGTCTGGCAACGGGAAATAAAATTCGCGATCGAATCGTCCTGGGCGCCGAAGCGCAGGGTCTACAGAATCTGGACGGTTGGTGGCACCAATCACGATGACTTGTCCTCGGCCGTCCATACCATCCATGAGAGCGAGCAAAGTAGCAACGATCGAAGCGTGGATCTGCTCTTGCTTACTGGAGCGAACAGGCGCCAGACCATCAATCTCGTCGAAAAAGATGATACTTGGCTGTGTCTTCCGCGCTTCCTCGAACAGGAGACGAAGCTGCCTTTCAGCCTCTCCGACCCACTTGCTCAAAGCATCAGCACCTTTGCGCATGTAGAAAGTGACCTTCTGTCCGTGAGTGCTAACGCTGGAAGCGAGAGCTCTGGCAAGAAGTGTCTTACCAGTACCGGGCGGACCGTGGAATAAGACACCTCGGGGCGGAGTGATCTTGAAGCGCTGGAACACTTCAGGATATAGCAAAGGAAGCATGACCATCTCTTTGAGCTTGTTGATGTGATCATCAAGGCCACCGACGCCATCGAAGTTGACATTCGGGTCAACTCCAAGGGGGTCAGAATCTGCGAGGGCCTTCTTGTCCTTGACCTTGCCCAGGTTCGCAGGGCCACCACCAGAGTCTTGCTTAGGATCTGCGTTATTGGTCTGGGGAAACCCGAAAGTAGGGGCGGTCGCAGTAGTAGGAGTCATGCCGATCATGCCACCAACGGGCTTGGGCATCTTTTGATTCTCATCTTCACTGCTGTCAGAGTCACCACCAGCAGCGCCCATGCCAGCCTCCACGCCGCCACCAAAAGGGCCCTGACTACGCCATAGGCTTTTGTATGTGGAACGTCCGCCTCGTGCCCTGGGTCGTTCCATAACGGGCCCATCGTCGTCGTCGTTCTCGAAGATAGTATTCTGCTCTGGACGAACAACACGGTAGTCGGGGGCGTTACGGGCGCGGCGTTTGGGCGCTTCGTCATAGACCAGGTCCTTGTCAGGGTTACGTCGAGAGAGGCGTCGTCGTTTGTTGTACTCTAGCTCTTCAATCTCATCTTGTAATTCGTCCTGATCTAGCCCAGACTCTTCTGAAGAAGAGTTGCGCCTGCTACGCTGCGATTGACTCTTCTTCCCTCGTAGGCGGGTCGAGCGCCGTCCTGAACCCGACGCGCTTTCAGACGCCGAGCGCTTGCCCTTCTCGCGATCCGACTCCGACATCTCCTCTTCCTTGTCGTCGTCTGCGGGAGGCTCGAAATCACTACTCTCGTCTGCGCCCTTCTTGCGTTTGGCGGAAATGGCGCGGGTCTAGCAGAAAACGTTAGCTACGGAAGAAGTCATAAATGGGTACTTGGGCATACCCTTGTGTTGCGCCCTCCACGGGTGACCGGGCCCTCCTCGTCAGACTCTTCCTCGGCGGCTTCTTCGTGCTGAGACTCCTGAATGACACCTTCCATATCGTCATCGTCCTCGCCTTCAGCATCGTCCTGCTGGGCTTCTTGTACGGGCGAACTATCCTTGCTAGCTTTGACTTGAGTTTCCTCGCCCGTGAGAAGCGCGTCAAGGGGACCAGGACTGTCCTCACGAATCATCGAGGTCTCTTGCGAAGCCTCCATGATGGCACTGGGATGCTGAGCCCTCGGGCCTTTGCCACCTCGTGTGGCGCGCGCGATGACAGGCTCAGGGCTGCGAGTACCTTCGCGCACAACTTTGACGTGCCGGCCCGAGTCTGTAAGCTGAACAATGGGCTCTTCAACGTCGTGCGATAAGCGATTGCTGCGTCGCGTGCCGTGTACTTCAGGCGTCTTTCCGCGCGCAAGAGACTTGCTGCCGGTGCGCGTGCGCAGACTGCGACCCGAGGCGTGATCGGGCATCTTCAGTTTCACAATGAGCGAAGGCTTCTCGACTTCTTCGATAGACGGCTGTGCTCGGCGGCGCGATGCAGGTTCGGGCGCGTCGTCCTCTGATGGCGTGTCTTCGATTTCGTCTTCGCTCTCTTCGTACTTGATCTGCTTCTTGGTGGCGCGGCGCACGCTTCTGCCGGTCGCAGGATTGATCTCGGGCTCCTCCGACTCGGAGCGCTCTGTGAAGGAATCGTCAGACTCTATCTCGTCGTCGTCGTCAATGTCCGAGCCGCCGTAGGCGCGTCGCTGGCGCTTGGAGGGTTTCTTCTTAGCTCCAGGCGTGTGTCGATTACGGCGCCGCTGGGGCGCGGCGCGTCTTTCCGAATCGTCGTAATCGTAGTCGTCGGGATCGGATGCGTTGGGATCAATGTCGAACTTGCGCTTTGCTCGGCTAGACATGAGGACTCGTCGCGGTGAAGCCTGTTGCGGTCCTGCGGCACAATGTGAGTGAACGGGCCCGAAGAGGCGTCGCGCTGAGGGCGCACTTACACCGCTGATTTAGATTTTTTGAGCTTCAAGATGACATTAGATGCAGGGAAATGGTCTGCTGCATATGCGCTGATGATGGCGAGTGTATGCGCGATGCTGGCGGGCGTGTCGCCTGGACGTCGTGTTGTTTTGAATTGGGGAGTGAAGGCTCGATTGCGCGATACACAGGTGAAGACGACGCAGAATTCAACAGAAGCGACTAACAGAAGAATTATTATCTTGATAAATGCCACCGAGAAGCGAAATGTTCGAGATAGGCAGATGTGGTCGAGGGGTGTTGGGGATGCGCTGAAGGCCGACGGGTCCCATCCCAAATACGCTAACTCAACCCGAACTCAGAACCAGGGAACACTTTTTAGATGCACGACCACAACAATAACGAAGCGCTTTATTTCTCGACTTCCGACAGTGCAAAATGCATCAAGATACACAGAGATCGTCGAGTCGCTACTCTGCCAGCAAACTCCGCAGCTTTTCGGGAGTCTTCCGACATGTTTTGAATCACTATTCAAGCCCTTTCTTTTCTACTTGCAGCTCTTCTTGCCGTCGGTTCCTGCATGATCGACATGCGGCTCCAAAAGCTTAACGCGTTTAGAGCTTGCTGGCATGTGTGGGGAAGAGCGAACTATGCACGTGCACCACGTGCTGGGACGACTCCGGTCACCGCACCCCTGAGCATCGTCGCTAATAGCGCAGAGATTCTGCTTCTGGGTTTATTTGCTGAGACCATGTACCTATTTCTCAAATGACCTGCTACACTTAGTTGTTGTCACAGTCGTCATTGTCATTGAAAGACGTTCGTACTTTGTCGTTGACCGACACGTGTCTTATCAAGTCGAGTCGCATGAAATAACCGGTTCTGTGATAAAAGGAGGGGGGTCATTTGTCGGTAAGCAGTGTGTGCTTGGGTGTGGTGTTGAATGCAGTTCAGGTGGGTTATTGAGGCTAGGTAGTCGCTGGGTGTCGCCGCGAACATCGATTGAGATTCAGTCCATGTTCTGCAAGAATCTAGTACACATTCTGCATACACGGCATACTGAGACGAGCCTCATTAAATATGCTCTGATAGATGTGATGCTACTCACTCTTGCAAACAGGAGTAGAGCACTGGTGTGATCGTATAGCGTCCTCGTCACTGCGTTGTCAGGGCCCATCTCAGTTCTCGCTAGATACCAACTCTGAACAAGGCCTGGCGAGAATCGGACGACTTTCCGTCTCAACAACGTTTAATACTAGGTCCTCCTCAGCCCAGCTCACTCATTCAGTTGAGCTTAAAGTCGGTGTGCCTCATTTATGTTGTGATAATCGCGGTCCGAACACTTTATACGCTCTTGACGCTGTATACGCCGCATACGCGATTATTCTCCCAATGGTATGTTACTTGCTTACTTGGAGAAGAAGTAAAAGTCACTGGAATATGCAAATAATTCAAAGGGAACCTCCTCAAAAAGGATCACAATATTCTTACGTTGTCATTGATCATCACGGAGCTGCCTCCGGATTGCCCGTAGCAATCCCACCCAGCGCAAGCCGAACCCCGCAGTTTGGCCATAGCTCTGCTCAACGTCATAGGCTCATAAAGCTCCACCAAACCCCATCCGAACACTAGCCTACGAGCAATTGACGTCTTCAGGTGGGCTAAGCTATCTTTATTCCCACGTGTGCCGCCTTTAGAGGGGGCGAGTCCGTTGTAGTTTATAATCGATCTTCACACCCACTCATAGACGCCATGCGCTCTTTTGTAACAGCAACTCGATCACTCGGACGCCAACAAGCTTATAGAAGTCGCTTCCAGAAGAGGCCATTGCCAGTAATTGTTTCGCGAGAATACGCCAACATGGGTCATTCAGTACCACCGGTATGTTTTGCCCTCAGCTGTGCGAGCATTGTGGATCGCGTAGGCGCTGACAGCTTGCACAGCTCAATGACAAGTCTCTCTTGAAGAGCCAGACATATGTCAACGGAGAATGGATAGATGCAAAGTCGGGCAAAACTTTCGAGGTCCATGGTATTCCTGTCTCTCAAACTCTTCAGAGACCGTCTTTCTAACTGGTAGCAGATCCGGCAACGGGCAAGCTCATTGGCACCATGCCCGAGATGGACCGCGCCGACACCGAAGCCGCCATCTCAGCAGCATCTGCCGCACTCCCTTCCTTCCGCAAACTTACCGGCCGCGAGCGCTCGCGCATGCTGCGAAAATGGTATCAATTGATGATGGATAACGCGGAGGACCTGGCAAAGCTTATAACGTGGGAGAATGGAAAGCCCATGGCAGATGCTAAGGGCGAGGTCAACTACGCTGCGAGTTTCTACGAGTGGTTCGCAGAAGAGGCGCCACGCATGTATGGAGCCACCATCCCAGCCTCGGTTGCTGGTAATCGCGTGTTCACTATCAAAGAGCCCGTCGGTGTTGTGGGATTGATCACACCGTGAGTTCTGCGCTCTGCCTTGGAGAAACATGGCTAACGATATCAGATGGAACTTCCCAGCAGCTATGATCACACGAAAGATTGGCCCAGCTCTGGCAGCTGGTTGCACTGTCGTTGCGAAGTCTCCTGGCGAGACACCTTTCACAGCAGCAGCTCTCGCCGAGCTTGCACACCGAGCAGGAATCCCTAAGGGTGTCGTCAACTTCGTCACAGCACTCAAGAACACACCAGAAGTTGGCGAGACCATCACATCAAGCAAGACCGTCAAAAAGGTCTCATTCACAGGATCAACTGGCGTCGGAAAGCTTCTGATGAAGCAGTCGTCGGACACGCTGAAGAAGCTTTCCTTTGAGCTTGGTGGAAACGCGCCTTTCATCGTCTTCGATGACGCCGACCTTGAGACAGCAGTAGCCGGAGCTATCGCATCCAAGTTCCGTTCCTCGGGCCAAACATGTGTATGTGCCAACAGGATTTACGTCCAATCAGGTATCTACGATGAGTTCTGCACCAAGTTCACCGAGAAGGTCAAGAGCTTCAAGGTCGGTGGTGGTTATGAAGAAGGAATCACGCACGGCCCACTGATCCATGACCGCGCTGTCTCCAAGGTGGATGCTCACGTCCAGGATGCCGTTAAGAACGGCGCAAAGGTCTTGTTCGGAGGACAAAAGCTACCCGATCTTGGGGAGAACTTCTACCAACCGACAGTCCTCCGCGACATGACCAAGGACATGCAGCTCGCCAAAGACGAGACTTTTGGCCCTGTTGCTGGACTCTTCCCCTTCGACACCGAAGCCGATGTCGTTAGCCTCGCCAATGCGGCTGACGTGGGACTTGCAGGTTACTTCTTCAGCAAAGATGTCCAGAGAGTTTATAGGGTGGCTGAAGCCCTCGAAGTTGGTATGGTTGGTGTCAACACCGGTCTTATCTCGGATGCAGCTGCACCTTTCGGAGGTGTCAAGGAGTCTGGATTTGGACGAGAAGGAAGTCACTTGGGTATTGAGGAATATGTTGTCACGAAGACGATTACCATGGGTGGAAATGGCCAGCCTTTACAGGGCGAGTAGAAGATATCCACAGACGGCTTTGCGACGTGATTCAATAGAACCCATCACACCGAACTTCGTACATTACGTATGCGTGAATATGATAATTCTTACAACGAGGTTGGTGCTCAGGCTATGCATCACAGAAAGATCCTCGTGAAGTTTATGAGGATATTCGGAGAAAAGCCGCTAGCGTGTCATGTTCGTGATTTTGGAGTTTAGTCCAACGCGCATCTGTACTATCGTGCCCTTTTGCCGTTTTGGCACCTGGCGAACAACTCTGTTTCTGCCACTATCGCCATCCTACCAAGACGATGTGTTCCAAATAACCTTGACATGACTGAAAAGAGCCAATTGTGTCTTGGCATCGTGATCAGCAATCATTATCCACTGGTACCTCATCCGACAGAACCTTAGAAGCGCTTGATGGCTTTCGATCGTCTAGTACTCATCGCCACCGAGAGCACATTGATATATGTAACACAATCGTAAACGTTTACCACAACCAACCCAATGTTTACGTCAAAGGAGAGCCCGACGTGCACTAACAAAACCCGCGACTTGCGGTCCGCAATCGTAGCTCTGTTACTCCAATGTTTGGGGTTTTAAATTTCGCAACTCGTCGCGCACGTCCGTCACTGTTATCGATCGCCCGAGAGATGGCGCGCACGTGATAGAACAGAGGATCGTGATGAGTATCGACGATCGAGAGCCACTTCGTTGACTTCTAGACATTTCAATACGGTACGATCAAGCACATGGCTTTTTTTTTTACCTTGCTCAATTGTCTCATCGGCCAATCACCTCCAGCAGTCGCCATGATGCGATGGCTCAAAGATAGTAAGACTTTGGAGACGGCAGTTTGAATGGAAACAAACATGTTGCACCAATGGTATCAGGAAATGGAGACATGGAGAGTGCGAAGGACGAGGTTGGATCATTGATTGCGGGTGCCGATGTAGAAGCTACTGAGGCAATCACACACAATGTACCCTGTCTCGCAGTCTAGGAAAGTTCAAGAAGAATGCTCCTGCCAATCGTTCCTTTTTGAAGGTAGCGACGCAAGGGCGTCGCTCTACGTGCGCCAATATCAGAAATAGCGAAGCTTTCCTGAACACAACCTAGGAAGCTACTTCAGAGGCAATGCCAAAAAACCTCGGAAACAACAGCACCACCGACATCACCACATCCGGAATCCAGTGCTACCGAGAAAGAAGAGATGCAACAACACCTAGAGAAAGCCGACGAGAGTTTTGTCTCGTTTAACAAAGAAGAAAGGCCGGAGCACGTTATGTCTCATCAGCAGGCAGACGAGACTGCAGCTTTGTACGAAGCCACAACTTTACGAGAGCCTGTAGCTGCACAAGAGATAGAAGACGATCATGCAGTCCAATCACCCATATCGGCATACGATGTTATCAATGAAGAGCCAGTACGAGTGGAGGTTGCCACCACATCGATTCCAGATCTAATGGCTTCCAATGCACCACCAACACAAATAGAGGCTACCACAACATCGCGTTCAACCCCAGCACCTCCCAATGCAATTCCGGTAACCTCGAACCAACCAACCCAACTCCTTGAAGGCCAGAGAGGCATCCGCCCTGGAGAACCGCTCACAAACAAGGATACGGAAGTCCATGCTGTAACGTCAGCGTCACCCCCAGATCACACCTTGTCAACCTCTGCATACACGGCAGAACGAAACTCTTTAAAACGCCAGCTTGTCGAAGACGAGAACGAAGAGCCAGGGGGCTATATTGATGAAAGATCAGCAAAACGCTTGCGATCCACGGACAGCCGCAAATCCATCGTCAATCGCAGTACACCAGTTCGTCGCTCATATCCCAGCACGTGGGACGGATACGAATGGGCGCTTGTCAATGAGAATATGAGGCATGGGCCGGATCAAGCCTTGGATCTTGATTCTGAACATAGGCCAGCTCCATCGATTGTTGACCTGTCTATCATGGATCAGAAACCTATCATCAAGCAGGAGCCTGATGAATCAACGATGAATGCAACAGCTTCTTCCCATTTAATCACTCTGACACCAACTCTGCCTGTTTCATCAACCATACGCCAGCCATCAACAGGACCAATTGCAGCAACAGAGCATGTTGATCTTTTTTCTCTCTGCATACCATGCACTGTGCCCAATGGGACTCCCCTTCCAGCGTCGGAAAACGAGCTCAGCCTTTTAGCAGATATACAGAGGAAGGCAAGAAGGATATTGAGTGGCGAAAAGGATAGAGTTGACATTCGAAGCCGTATCCCAGCCTGGATGCGCAATGGTCTGTCGGAAGAGCAGAAAAAAGGCATTGCTAAGATACAGAAAAAAATCAACAACATGCAAAAGAAGATCAGGGCTTCACAGTCGGAGGGAAAAGGTGGCAAAGTGAAAGCGAAAGGTGCCAATACCGCCCCTACTAGGCCTACTCCAACACCTACCAGATACACATCTGCTTCGGTCGTGCACTTGCAGACATTTCATGCGGTCGCACCAACGCCATCCCAAGCCCACCCTTTGGCACGTCAACAAACTCTTCTGCCCTTTGGTCTTGAACCTCTCGACTATGGCGATTTGTTCGGCCCGGCTTTAGTAAACAGTGCACTGGAACAGGTCAACGGCATGCTCGAAATGTTCGGGGTCAACGTAAGATGTTCTCTTTCCGGCCTCGACTTGATAAACTTACAAAAGAGCACCGGAAGAGTACAAAACCCACCTCCGCCGGGCTGCGCGTCCCTTTCACTTGCGAAGCAACCTTATCTCAAACTGGTTGGTCCATCTCTGGTACATTACGCGCTAGAGGAGATAAACGAGATGATGAGATCTTTTGGGCTTCTTCAGCAATTCGCCTTGTGTTGGAAAGACCTGCGACAGGTGCAGCATTAGGTCTTTGCCTTGTCTCCAGTTTATCGTTGTGATGCTCTGGATCACACGGTGAGACAGACGTAGCATGGTTTCTTTTCCTGTACATCTATCATCGTGCTTGTGCGCAAGTAGCTGCACATGGATCCTCAGAGTGCTTTAACATTCCGTGTACTATTTTGTCAACTTCAGTCACGTGTGGTGATGGACTGAGCGTATCTAGCATTATCATTCCCAAATACATGCACTTCAACTTAGCGAAACCACGTGGAGTATCATGACTTCAAGGTCATCATTGAAAGTTGTTCATTTTCATGCCGGTGTACCCAGCACTATCGTTGGATACATACGTGAGGTCCTGAATGTAATACCCCGCGCCATAACCCTTATGCTAGAAAGAACCCAAAAACAAACCCTCTAGTACCTCTTACCCTCACGGAGGATGTCGCTGTACTCCTCGAGCGGAGATGGGGTAAGCTTCTTCTCAGCCCACAGGTTGGGGGTGAGGAAACCGTAGGTGTGTGCGACAGCTACGAAGGTAGCCTTCAGGGTGTTCTCAAGAGTCTTGGTTGAACCGGAAGAGGCAGTGTAGATGTCGGCGACACCAGCCAATTGCAAGAGACGCTTGACAGCGGGCGATGCGACAAGGCCGGTACCACGGGGAGCGGGAATGAGACGGACAGTAACGGAACCGCACTTTCCGCTCTCCTTGGTGGGGAGCGAGTGAGGCTCACCAAGGTTGGTACCCCAGTAACCTCTTCGGATGGGGACAACGGAGAGCTTGGCGATGATGATGGCGGCGCGGATGGCGGTAGCGACTTCCTTGGAGGTCTTGATACCAAGACCAATGTGACCCTCGGAGTCACCGATGACGACGATAGCCTTGAAGCGGGTACGCTGACCGGCACGGGTCTGCTTCTGGACAGGCTTGATCTTCATGACCTCGTCCTTGAGCTTGGGGAGGAAAAAGTCGACGACCTGGTACTCCTTGATGGGGAGAGAGTGGAGGTAGCTGTCCACTGTCAGTACAAATTCCTTGCTCAATCCCGCCTGAGAACGTACATCTCCTCCATGCTCTTGATCTTGCCGGCCTTTACGAGACGGCCGAGCTTGGTGACGGGCTGCCATTCCTTCTCCTGTGCCAATTGTCAATTTGCTGCTATTTGTCCCTCCACAGCCTTCATATGCGCACCTCAGTCTTTCCGCCACGGCGGCCACGGCCACGCCCGCGACCACGTCCACGGTCACCACCGCGGTCTCCACGAGAACCGAATCCGCCGCGAGCGGGGGCAGGAGCGTCAGCCATGATGTATGTTGGTGGGGTATACGGCTGCTGGATTTGCGATTAGCGACGGGCTTGAGAGTGAGAAGAGGTGGAAGAGCGTACGATTGAGAGTTCCTGGGAGTTAGTGCGTGCTGTTGTCGCGGTCGCACTTGCAACTTTCGATATTGAAATGCTCGCTTAGGTCGTGGATGTCACTAGCCGTATTGGGTTTGGTGCAGCTACGCTACATGTGGAAGAGTTGCAGGTGGTTCACCAATGACCACCACAACTACAAGGCGCAACCTCTGCAGAATCCAGTTTGTATGCAGCCGTACCTGTTTTAATCCTCGTGAGGCCTTCTGCACAGAGATCTGACATGAGAAGTGCCTCTGACAAGTACTTGAAGCGACTGGATCACCTAAGGAGGCAAGATCGGTATGTCAATGGAGCGCAAACGTATCGCATTTCACAGGACATCTCAAGTGTGACTGCACCCAGTGCGTTCCTTGTCACCAGACGGAAGATTGTCTTGCGTACCGACGCTGCCTATCGCGCTTTCCAAGCAGCTCGGAATGACGTGGCTGACTAAGGGCGCTTTGAGCGCGCATGACTCGCTCACATGCTCGAGGTACCAACGATATCACATGCACGAACACTTGTCTCCAACGCTTCGACAGTAAATCCACGGGCCACGCTGCGAGATCGTGGTTCATTACAATGTCTATCTTCAATTCAGTCCTCGGCTCGTTCTCGCCTCCGCCGCGGTTCAGAAAGTCCTTCGAAGACCCGCACGCGCGTGAACATGAGCTACCACTGTACAACCCTCCGCCGTCTCCGCGAATACCACCGCCTGTGACTTCGTCAGTACTATGGAACGCTCCAAGAACCAGCCTGTCTCCGCCTCCACGCGTTCCTGACGACCTGCTAGCGTTGCAGCGGCGAGCTAGATACCTCGAACAACAGCTGCAAGAGCTACTCGACGCACAAGCCGATGGTCTAATGGGTGCTCGTGGCGCTGGAGATGCTACACCGGATGATCTTGTATCGAACGGAAGCACTACACCAACTGTGAGCAGCGTCCGGTCGAGCGATCGAGGTGCGGAGAACGGTAACGGCCATAACGGTGCAGGGAGGAAGAAAGTGGGGCTTAATGCAGCGAGACAAGGCATATCTAGACGGATAAGACAGCTTGCCAGCGTCAAGTCTGAGGAGCTTGATCTTTTAGACGAGGACCTGAGGAAGCTGCAAAGCACAGTGGAGAAGACCGACGGGTGGAGTCAGAAGCGCATACGGCTGGAAAAGAAGATCAGAGATATAGAGAACGAGGACGCTGGCGCAAAAGCACAGAGCTTACAGACGGAAGCCTCGAAGCTAGAGCAGGAGATTCGCCAGAAAGAAGAGGAACTATGGGCGCTCAAAAGACGACATCGAAAGGTCTTGGACGAACTGGCTGATACAGAGAACTCGGTGGAAGCGAAATTGGCATCGTACAAGACATCGTTGTCACTGTTAGATCGTGAAGTTTCCAATTTCCTTGTGCGACCTCCAAACGCGGATCACGTTCCAATGTCATCATCACCGTTCCTTACACTACCTGCAAAACGGCGGACGCTCGACATGGCGCGCGAATTTTGGCAAGACGAGTACACAAGACTGGCTGAAAGGTGTGAGAAGGTTGATACAGATCGAGGTGCGCTTGACGAAGGTGCACTTTTGTGGGCAGATGTTATGAAGAGAGTCGAAGATTATGAAACAAGCCTACAGAACTCTATGCGACCAACGACACGGAAGAGCACCCCCGATCCCACCAAGCTTCTCGAGCAGATGGACGCAACCATTACCTACCTAGGGGAGAAGCTAGAGTTGGCTTCGTCGCGAAGTTGGAATTTGTTAGTTTGCGCCATTGGTGCCGAGCTCGAAGCTTTTACACAAGGCAGAAACATGTTAGAAGAGGCTCTTGGTTCGAAACGAAAGGGTAAAGAGCGAGCTACAGAACCACTGATAGACCATGATGGCTTTGAGACCAAACAACCAGAGGAGATGACAGGGTCTGCTATAAGGATTGGTCGTTCTCCGCCGAGACAACCTACGCCGCCCAAGCAGACGTATTTTGACTCCGAAGACGACGATCCAGATCCTGAGCTTATGATTTCGCATCAGGATATCGATACTGACTGAGCAGGATACTCGGTCCTTCCTCAGCGTATTTTTCGAGATGAGATGTTCCCCCGAGTAGCCATGTTCTATGTAATTGTTAAATCATATCAAACCTACTCACTTGCTTATCAAATAGTGCGTACTTAACTCGAAGGAGCTTGTTTCTCATCAATGGTGCCCTATCTCTGCAAATATTGGATAGACCCAAAAGATGCATACTGCCATAATCTCTAGTGGAGAAACAACGCAGAATGCTATATATGCTTTCAAAGTAAATCTCCATATATACAAGCTACAACCTAGGAAAGAGGAGCTTCTTCACATGCGGAAGTCCGTCTTGATCTATCGATAAGAGTGGGGCGTTCGGAGATAACCCTATTACCGCGACTACTACAAAGCTCCCGCCCATTACGAGCATTGCTCTTATATCGCCTCGGCACATCTTGCGACATCTACAGAATAACGTTTTCGCAAACATGAGTTCGTCGCAAGCTCCAACTAGTCCACCCGCCGAGGATGACCCAGCCAGAACCATTGTATACGATCCGAGCGACCCGTTCTGGCGAGAAACCGACGACGAGTATGATGACGACATGGACTTTGTACCTGCAGAAGAGGGCACCGACGATAACGATGAAGGTGAAGCTGATCTGAGCTTTCACGGTATACTTGGCTTTATGATACATAGTCTGTGATCTATCTACTAACATAATTGTAAGATGCCGCAGAACGATTGAGCAATCTCAGCGGGGTGGAGATCGCATTCGAATACACCGATGATAATGACGATGACGACGACGATGACGACGAAGATGAAGAGAACGGAGAGGACGATGAAGATGGAGACGAGAACGAGGAAGGGAACGAGGATGCAGAGGAAGACGAGATGGACAACCCTCGCCAGCCAATTATGATTACGCGCGAGCAGATAATGCAGTTGCTTGGACACGCTGGATTGGGCCGCATATTCGCCACCGATTTCATTCCACGATCCGCGCTCCGGCGACGCAGACTCGATGAGGACGACGAGGATGAGGACGAAGACGATGGCTATGACCCTCTCGGTTCGACGAGGACCTCTGGAAGGAGGCGACGACCACGAGGCATAGATTTGTTTGAAAAGGTGCCTAGCGAACAGGGTCAGGAATTGATGCAAGGGGGCAACTTCGGAACAAATCCTCGATCGCAAGACACACTTAAGCGAAAAAAGAAGTTAGCTTACAACATCATGCGACGAGAGTTAGGTATTGGTGGTGACGGTCGCCAGAAGAATTCCACGAGATTGTTGAGGCAAGAAATGATACCAGAATCAGTGGCCGACACAATCATTCACTACAATGCGCGCTGCTATTCAGGACAGTTTTCAGACGATGGCAACTTCTTCTTTTCATGCGCTCAAGATTTCAAAGTACGCATGTATGACACATCGAATCCATACGATTGGAAGTACTACAAGGCAAGCAGCAATCTCAAACTCGAAGCTCCGTGAAGCTAATATGTTACAGACTCTAAGGTATGATGGTGGTCAATGGACGATTACGGATGCATCATTAAGTCCAGACAACCGCTTTCTGGCATACAGCTCCATTAGGAGTATTGTCGCACTAGCACACACCGACCCTGACAACGACTCTGAACCACACTATCTTGATTTTGCAGACCTCGGTCGGCCTACCCCACGTGGGTATCGCGGATATTTTGGTGTAAGATGTGTTCCTCGACATTTGAGACTGTGGCTGACCCATCCAGATCTGGTCGATAAGATTCTCTGGCGATGGTCGCGAAATTGTAGCAGGGACGGGAGACAGTTCTGTTTATGTATACGACATTGAGCGTCGTCAGTCAGTGCTACGCATACCAGGTCATCAAGATGATGTGAATGCAGTCTGCTTCGGCGACACTCAATCGCCACATATTCTTTACTCTGGCTCCGACGACACAACGCTCAAAGTCTGGGATCGAAGGAGTATGGGTGACGGTCGCGAAGCCGGTGTTTTTCTGGGACACACTGAGGGCTTGACATATGTCGACAGCAAGGGAGATGGACGATATGTGCTTAGTAACGGCAAAGACCAGACTGCTAAGCTGTGGGATCTGAGGAAGATGATGTCAAAGGAGAAGGCAGACGGCATTGATCCCAATGCGTACACCAACCGCTTCGAGTACCGATCCAACGCATACGACTTTGATGAGTACCGTCCGCATCCACATGACTGCTCGCTTGTTACGTTCCGCGGGCACAAGGTGTTGAAGACGCTTATTCGATGTCACTTTTCGCCTCCTGGTAGCACAGATTCGCGATATGTTTACTCTGGCAGCTACGACGGCTCGGTCTACATCTGGAACATGGATGCGACAATTGCTGGCAAGGTCGATGTTCTCAAGGCGACCAGGAACTCACGACCACGCGACCCAGATCTTCTTGCTGGAATGTACGAGCACTGGGGTAGAAACGAGGGCAGATGGCAGACGTGTGTTCGTGACGCGAGTTGGCATCCTAACGCGCCTATGATTGCTGGTAAGTATTTGTACACTTCTAGTTTTGGTACATATGTTAACTTTTACTAGCAACCTCATGGAACGGCTGGGGTACCTCACAGGGAACTTGCACAGTCCACACTTGGAACGATGGCCTTGAAGAAGATGAAGCAGAGCCTAAGATTGGGAGGCGGGTCAATGCACAACTGCAGCATGATGAACGGCTTTACACGAGCCCTGAGGGCAGGGCGAGACGACACCCCATGTGGTATGAAGACATGATGAACGAGGAGTGAAAGCTCCTGCATCGCTGACCCTTCTAGAATTCCGAGGGATGGGTGAATACAAGTGCTGCATAAAGGGATTTGGTGAGAAGTTGGGAATGCAATCGGATGTTCACAGGGACT